CACAGAGGAACAGCGAGCAGCATTCCTCTCCTTCCAACTGAGGGAAGATGGAGGTTAGAACGGGACTTGCTCCTTTACTAAAATCCTGAACATGCAAAACCATTCAAAGAGTGTTTAAAAGCAGGTAAGGGGACCTGGAGACTAAAAAGAGATGCTTTTAATAACGTAAGGCACTTTTAGTAGACTGTTTCCCTTTGGTATTTGCTAGTGCTTCAGCTCAGCGAGCATGGGTGAGGGCAAGGAGACTCTCAGACCAGAAGAGAGTGAGCTTTGTACTGAACTACTTCTGTTCCTTGAGCAGTTTGAAGCTAATAAAGGTAGCTTTTGACCTTCCTGAAGGTCAAAAATATTGTGGGAAGCTGAAATTGATGCCACCAATAAAAGACACATTTTTAATAGATACTTCTGAAAATCCATAACCATTAACGGATTGAGAAGTGTCTCCAGACTCATATCCAGAGCAGGGCAACAGTTAGAAAATTTGCGGGTTGAGTTAAAGACAGTTTAATAGATAAAAGGGAAAAAAATGAAAGCAAAACAACAAAAAACAAGTGATACAAAGCAATCACCATGAGTTCCCTGATGTGCCAACAGCCCCAGGCAACAGACCCCCTGGAACATCCCAAACACCCCATCCTCAGTTTTTATTGCTGAGCATGATCTTATACGGTGCACACTACCTCAGAGGTCAGTCGAGGTCAGCTGTCCCAGCTGTGCCCCCTCCCTGCCCCTGGCCCACAACCAACCCCCTCAGTGGGTGTCAGAGTGAGAAGCAGAAAAAGCCAGTGCAACCACTGCTGAGCAATAGCTAAAGCATCAGCAGGCCGGCAATGCTGTTTGAGCTACATATCCAAAACATGCACTGTAGAGGATGCTACAAAGAAAATTAAATCCATCACAGTAAGACCCAGTACATTGGGCTAGTTTTTAATTTAGTCTGGTCTAAAAAGCAGTTGGGACCTTGTCCTGTATTTTGTGCATCAGTGGAATGGTCCAGCAATTCCATACCTGGGATAAATTCAGAGAAGCAGCCAACAAGTATGTCTGCTTGAGTAGGTAGTTGACTGAAGTAAATGGTGTGAATGCCTTCCTCAGCTGCCCCTCAGACCACAGGTCTCCCTCTCCCTGACTGCCTTTTAGAGGTTGGTGGGGAAAAGGAATCAAGGGACAAAAATAAGACCAGTACAGCCCCAAAATTACACCATTGCTCAGAAATTATATGAGGTGTGAGGAGTATATTAGTACACAGCAATAACTAATTCACTCAGTTTGACAGATGGCTATAATAGTTTGCTTGTAGTTTACCTGGAGGAAACAAGACAACAAAAATTCCTGAAGAATTATAGATAAATATCTTAATTATAAAATTAATTAATAATATTGATAGGAGATAATTCACATTCTTTTTTTTTAAATTAAGGTTGAATCATATAAGAGCAATCAGAACATTGTGGTGATAAAAATACAAAAAAAGAAAGTAATTAATTTTTTATTATTCTCCTTTATTGGTAACAACTATAAATAAAAACTTGTACTTTCATGAAAAAATAAACCAGGTGTACATGGGTTTGCAGTATGTTTGATGTTTCTTTCACAAAACTGAGTTGAGGTGACTCAGAATATCTCCAGCATATCCAAGCTTCCTGCAGCCCTGAATCGTTATGAACCAATTAACACAGATGTAAGACAAAGACAAGATGATGTATGGCTCTTACTATACGTAATATGTAAAAACCAGAGACAAAGAAAACTGAAATATGACTCTGAATTTAGGTATTTATTTAAAACATGTTTTATGTTAGCAGAACTTCAGGGAACTTCACAGGTAACTGCCTGGGATAATCCACGCTTCTCAGTGCTTCTCTTCTGTCTCCAGTCTTCCTGCTGTGGCAACAGCACCAACTCATGGAGAAGTGCCAGAGTCTTGGGATGAGAGAAAATGAAGGTAAGAGAGGGCAGGTAAAAGAGGAAGTGTAAGCAAGAAGGGGTCTGGTGTTGAAGCCATTCTCCAGAACAAAGCGAGTCCTGATTTCTGGATGTTGCTCCCAAACAGAGGTTGCGACTCAAGGTTGCTTATTATACATAAAATATTATGGTATAATGTGGGCAGAATGTACACAGAGTACATCATGCGGGATGTATTTTCAGTATACTTTTAGAGGATAGAGTTTTCATTTACATTTTGCATTGGGTGGAGTGCAACACTCTGGTCTATGACAAACAAACTGTGTGACAGGGGGAGTGAGTGCAGGGAGAAAAGGAGGGAGGAGAGATTTTAACAGAAATAACTCCACTTAGTGTTTGAGTGAGGGATGTAATGAAATCTGTTTGCTGTGCTAGCTGTCTCCAGATTGGGCTGTAATTACACCACAGAAGGAAGAAAGGTAGCTGAGTCTCAATCTAGATCATTTATGTAAACTCAGCCTTCTTGTCAACGGCATTCTCGGATTGCACGTGTGCAAACCACAAAAATCATCTCCTATGTACAAAACAGAGACGGTCTCAAAGTGCAGGCTTCTGATACACCTTATATGCTGTCTATAATTGGACTTGAAAATTCAACACACTGAGGTTCAAAACTTCTCCAATATTTTCTGCATTTTATTCAGTGCGGTGACTATTCACAGAGAAGCATTCCTGCTTTCTTTATGCCAAAGGATGATGTCTAGCCTTACAAATTAACATTTATTTGGCTTAAATTAACACAAGTGTCACAAACATAGGAAATTCTTTTGTGTAAGACTGTAGAAAAAAAATTCTGGATCTGAAAGAGGGATATTCCCTCCCTCAGAAGAGTTGGAAAAACCTCATTCTTTGATCCAGAGCAACATATTACACAGGCACAGTATAAACCCCAGGCAATCAATTCCCTTAACAGAGTCAAATTAATATTTGATTAAATATTTTAAAGCTCCTACTTACCATGCTTGATACATTTTCTCAGCAAGTTTCTCAAATACAAAAATCATTAGGCACAGGGTAATTTTATGTTTTAATACATAAAAACAGTGTGAGGAGACATGACTGCACACAGACAGAGAGAGGATTTTCCCCCATTAATCCTCCAATCTGCCCTTCTCCTTGGATAAGCGGGTATGTTAATTCCCGGCTTCGGCAGCTCACTCTCTCTGGGCAGGTTTAAACGAGTTTCTTGTGACACCTGGATCTTCACGCCCTTCCATCCCTCCCTCCTTCCATCCCTCCCCTCTGGCAGGAAAACCACCGGCCTCCACCCTGGCGCCGTCCCCACCGGTACCCAATCAATACCAACTTATTTCCTGTCCATTTGCTGAGGTCACGAAAACGGGACTCATTAATTATTTCTACTGGTGCAGCCTCAAGTGCGCTTCTGGCACGACAAGCAAAAGCCTTTTGTGACCTTTTTTCTTTCCACTCCCGAATTTTGCTGGTGGTGATGGTGGCGGCAGCAGCTGGCATGCATTCCTCTGTTGGGATGGGATGATGAGACGACCAGAGGTGTGGGGCATCGTCAGTCTCTCCGCCAGGTTGCTTCCACCTGTGGAGGGAGAGACGCTCCCCCCAGAGCAGCAGGTCAGGGAAACCTGGTCACGGCGCAGACGATGTTGGCCAAGGCATCCCTGGCCTCGGAGGGAGGGAAATGCTCCAGGGCTGCCAGTGCTCTGTTTCCGTGGCAGCGGCAGAGGTCGATGGCAGAAGTCACACCTTTTCCAGCCTTGATCGCTTCCTGCAGCTGTCAGAAAACAGAAGCACAATGGGTGGGGGTGGTTCAGCAGTAGCAGTGCCAGCGTGCACAACGATCTCTGGGAATACAGGGCTTCCACAGCCCCTTCCGAGGTAAAGGCAAAACCGAAGCCATCAGACAAAGCTCTTAAATCCTCTCAGCTGCTCTGCTTGGCTCTCAACTACAGCTAAACTGTGCACAATTTAAACTACATCACCCATTACTTCTTCATCTGAGAGATACTGGCTCTCCAAAGTGCACACTTAAATTAAAAAAAAAATTAAAGTTTTTAAATATCTGGGAATTTCATACCTCAGCCACTGCCTGAGAGCTTTTGTTCAGAATTGGCAAACCAGCCACTCACTCAGACTCTTGTTTTCTGCAGTCAAAACCTGCATTTCATGAACACCCATCTTATCACCTGGTTTTGGAAACGGGCATAGGATGACACACGTTGAATGTGTGTCTTTTGTAATACAAGTTTCTATTTATAGACCATGTGATTACATGTGTCAGAGTGGACAAAAGGAAATTGTGTCAGCAAAATGTGTTAAACTATCATACTGAGCTATATCCATGCAAACTCCTCCTTCTCACTAAGGCTATGGAATTTGACAAAGGCTTGGTGATGCACCATATGAGAAAGAAAATATTTTCATGGAATAACAGACATTTCAGGGCAAACTAGGTTAAATTTCTTATGAAATAACACAAAAATTACAGACAAAACATGTTTTTTTCCCAGTACCTGAACTTAGCAGAAGCTCTAAACAGCAAACACTCTTATTAAGGGTATTTTTATTTTCAGTTATTATTTTTTCTTGAACGGCATCATGAGACTGCCACAAAACACAGTTACATTTTCCACTCTAAAATACAGGTGTTCCCAGACCAACTCTAGCCTGATGCCTCATGCCAGAGCCTGGGAATCAAGGCCAGGTGGATCTCTGGGATTTGATTATTCCAAAAGCATTAAAGCATTTCATGATCTTTAATGTGCCCCACCTGGCTTTCACAGCCATCTTACTTCACTGTACCAGCTTTTAAAAGAGGGGCTTTTCTTGCACATAGGTATCTACAGTAACAAACTATACAAGGTTTTATAAGTCATGTTTTCCACCAATACACAGCTCATTGCTTCGTTTAAAAATACATCAGTATGACCTTACCTATCTAGTTAAAATAATGTAAAAATAAAAAAATCCTAAGATAAGACCAAATGGAAAGTTACCCGCTTTCTATACACACTTGCATTCATACAGAATGAATGACACTTCCTATCTGAATACAAACTGGAGTGGATTCATTATCTGTATTTAAAGATGAAATTAGCTGAAAGCATATTACAGCATTTGAGTGTTCAAGTCCCAGTTCATAAAAATTTTATTCTCACTTCAGTTAGAATCTTCCTGCACTGTGTGCTGGAAAGGAACTTGCCCTGAGGCATAAATGCATTGCACAGCTAATTCCACACGTCTTCTAATGAATGAGAATCAGCCACATATTCACGGCTCTGCAGCAAAGGTGGGGATAGGTGAGATGAGGCATGCTAGCAGTGTGAAAAGGTGTCTCTTTCCTTTTCTTTGAGGCACAACCTTGTGAGACAGTGGAACCCACACATCTTGAAGCAAACTCTGCTGATTTGCTAAAGCTTATTAAAAAGGATTAGCACGCCTTCTAATACTGATGTAAGTATATACTGGGATGTAAACAGCAAAGAAAATAGCTCCTAGAAAGTCTTCAATTTGGTCAAAGGTCAGAGGAGCTTAGCTTAGGCATATGTATGATGGCACATATGTACCATGACTTAGTCGAAACAGCACAATCTGGAAAGGGGGAGAATCCTAACACAAGGACGCAATCCATTTACACGCTTGTCTTCAGTAAGTCCTTAGACACGCGTACTGCTTTGAAGCCCATACAATTGCAAAGCTCGTGTCAAACTATACGCAGAGGAATCACTATACAAAAATCAGACTAATTCGCTATTGAATGTTTCCAAGCAAAGTTCAAGGAACGTCAAAACAAAAAATACCCACTCCTATGGCAGCTCCTTCCTCAGCTTTTCAGTTAAAGATTATTGTATGAAATGAACAATTTACAGTCCTCAAAAACTTATCTCTTTTATATTCCATTTGCAGAAGTGGCTGGTCAACTCAAATGAGCATACACAGAGGCAAAACAGTTTGAACTAACCAGACTGCATGCTACCTCTATCTCAGCTGGGGTTGTAAAAGAAAAAAAGGAAGTACAGATTTGGCATTTGGTAGTAGGATAGTTATTAGAGAAATACAGGAAATAACTCCATAGGAAAAAAAGCTTCAGTAGCTCTGCTATATGCAAAACTCCCCTAATATAAGACTTCAGTTGTATTTTCCATTGCATTACAGTTACACTTCCATACTCTCAAATTTTGACCTTCAATAGTTTTATGTAATGAACTTCACAAACTAAGAACACAGAATAAAAAAACAATGTATCCAGAATAGAAGTATTATTTTAAAACTTCATTTGGATAGGAGCAGCTGATTTCTGCAGCAAATACCCAGAAAAGCAAAATGAACTGCTTTTATTTGTTACTTTATAAACTTTAATTAAGCTGCTTCATTAGTTTCTTTGAAATAAAAGAGTCTGTTCTTTTAGTCTCTACTTACACGGTATCATTTTGTGCATACTTCCACTTGTAGGAACAATTTAATCCATGCAACCTTCTTCAGAATGACATTCAGTAATTAAAACCAAATACAAGTCAAAATACAGATTGCTTAGCTATACTTTTCTCCTGTTGAACTGCGAGATATGCTGGAATACTCCATTCTTATTTGTAAGCTTTTGCTCAGACCACGGGCACTATAGCCCTACTTTGTTCTAAAGGTGCTGAGACACCAAAAAATCACCAACTGGTGATTGGTTATTTAAGTTCAGCTTATAGAGTAGTCTTCCAATAGCACAGCCAAGTTTAAACTCAGATGAGAAGTGATCTCCTTCCCAGTATATCAGCACAGTTTTCTTCAGCATCTTCTGTTTCCCTCAACATATTCAGATACTGACCAGGCTTGACAGTTTTGCCTCATACAGAAGAAGTTCAGAACCCGAAGTTTTACCTCTGAATGTTGTCCTATGACTCTAAGAACTAAAAAACCCAGCACCATCATAATCTTCACTGTCTTAAGATAATGAAAAAAAAACCTGTGCTGCCTAGATCATACAATACATAAAATTGTAGTGGAGTCATATTTCTGCTCCTACTTTGAAGCATTAATGTTTGGAAGTCTTTTATTAAGTATTTCGGCACATTCATAAGGGATATTCTGCATTTGGATTAACAATCTTGATAAGATCTACACAGCTTTTAGAGTCTACAGGTTTGTTACAAATATAAAAAAAGTAATTAAATGGTGATGTTGAAACTCAAACCAACTGCTAGTTTCACATAGGGTACATAAATACATCTAAAAGAATCTGCCCCTTACCAGGCTTGACCACACTCCACTAGATTTAAATCAATGACCAACACACACCACACGCTATTTTTCTGGTGTTTCAGCTACACTCCTTTTCCTTCGTAGTTAGTTATTGACACACTTTTTTTTTTCTTGAAGTAGTGTGTCCTTAAAGCAAAGATCATAAACCACTTCTCGGGCTGTGTTAGCAAGTGTATTCAGCAAGCAACTACTGTCCCTATTTGGGCTGTTGGGACTGAGTCTGGAGTGCTGTGCCCAATTTTGGGCTTCCCATTAAGTGAAAGACATTGCTGTGCTGCAGCAAGTGCAGCGGGAGGCTACCCAGGTGATACGGGCCTGGAGCAGTACATGCTCTGCAAGAAAATGCTGGAATTGTTTAGTTCATCCATAAGAAGAGAAGGCTGTTACTACTGTCCCAACTACCTCATGGGCCAGGAGCCAGAATTGGGCTCTTCTCAGAGGTGTACATGGAAGGGATGAGAGGTAATGGGCACAGGTTGCAGCATGGGAAATGCTGATTAGACCCAAGGAAATTCTTTTCCATCAGGAGGGGGGTCAAGCACTGGTCAGGCTGTTCAGGTTGGCTGTGCAATCTCTGTCCTTGCAGATACTCAAAAGTTAACTGAGCAAACCCATATGGGCTCTGCTTTGAGCGAGGGGCTGGACCAGACAACCCTCAGAGGTCCCTTCAGACTTAAATTATTGTACGATTCTGTGAACAAAGTAGAGTTCAAAGTACTGTGTTTCCCAGTCCATTTGTTTCAAAAAGGCAAAGAGATCATTTCTGATCCGTACCACAGCAGTTAAGTATTTGCCTTTCAGACCAACTGCTCTGGATTGCTGTTGGACAGAATGGCTGGTCTGAGGGCAGCAAGAGGTCAAAGGGGCAAGCTAAGAACTGCTGGATTTTGGAGGCTGAAGAATTAAAGGAGTCAAAAACTAAGCAGGTGTTCAAGTATAAAGACAACTAATTTCAAATTCTCTCTGCTGAGACATTTCTGCCTCACTAGCCAAAGGAAAGAAGATTCCTTTCAGACAGTGCTACCTGTAGGGAACAACAAATCGGGGGTGGAGAGATTGGAGAGTATTTTGGCTGTACTAGACTTTATGTGCAATAGGAGAATGAGAACACTGAAATTCCTAATTTTTTTTTTTGCAGTAGTCAAACTTAGGATTAATTATTTCAGTGGCAAGATATCAACAAGTAACTTCAGAATTTTTTTTATGTTGTTATTTTAGAAGAATGATCCTAAAACAGCTTAATTTATTATAAAATCTATTAAAAATAAAAAAATTTATTATGAAATCTTCAAACATCATGCATTTTCTCTGATCTTGAAGTGAGCTAAAACATTCTACATTTTTGCAGTGCACAGTATTTGCTGAAATAAAAATAAAACCCAAACCCCAAAATCTAAATTGATCTGTGGCTGAGTGACTGAACAACGCTATAAGTGTATGCAGTGTTTTGCACTGGCTCTTCTAAATTTGTTTTCTCTTTTGTGGGAACAGCACGCTCGATACGCACTGGTGCTTTAGACTGCTGAAATGCTACTTCAAAAAGGTATGACGTGTTTCACAGGTAGTAGGTTAATTTTGTCAGGTTTTTTCCATTCTTTTCTAAATACTTTGGAATGTTTCAGCAACCACTCTTGGAGTTTTTGTGGCTGAACATAGGCTTGTGCTCTACGTTCTCAAAATGGGCTGGACGATCACTTATTTGCATCACTTTGTAATGTCATAAGATTTTAATTTTTTTTTTTTTAAATCTTTGTTGGCTACATGCAGAATATGTCAGCTGAAACTGGGGCAGTATTTATCCAATATTTTCTTAGAAATTTCTTCTGTACAAAGGTAAATAAATGCATCTTCAAAGGGCCCAGACACTTTGCAGAAACTTCCATAAGCAGAATAGGATTTATTTTCCTTACTCATCTGACAAACAGAAGAATTTTCTTTTCACTTCAAACTAAAAGCTACACTATAAATAGGATGAGACCAAATCTGATGAGGGTTGCCCCCAAGAGCAGAGGAAAGATGGCCTGCTTACAAGGAGCACTGCTGTTACACACTTCTTATACTACACTTTGCCAAAAAATTATAAGTCATCCTGAGAGATGGAGTGATTGTACAGACTCTTTGTTATTTTAGAAGAGATACCAACTCCTCTTCCTTAGGCCTTTCCGTGTCTTTCACACTGAACTTTTGAACAAGACCCACTAGCTTTTAAATCTAAACAATGGTACTTGTGATGACTTTTTACCAAAAAGCATAACTTCCTTAAATCCCATTAATGCAAATATTGACTGGTAATGTCATCTTAGCATACACAAGCAATCACCTTTATATTTATGTTAAAAAATGTGATGGTTGTTTGTTTTAGTGAAACAAAAGTTGCGCTGGACTCTCATACCAAAGAAGTGGGAAAATACCCACTGACTATAAAGATGCAACTGGTAGTTGATACTGGATGTACACTTTGATAATTCAGACATTAATTCCAAAAAATAAGAAAATTGCTTAATCTGAATGGTTTTGATTGCTTTTGTAATATTACTAACACATCTAAAAAAACCCATCTTCATTAAATCACTGACACTGATTTTTCATTATATGTAACAAAAAGATCTAATGGTAGAGGTTGCTCCAAAACAAACAAGACAAATCTTCATGGAAAACCAACACAGCTCAAAAGCACCTACAAACAACAACCCTCTGTTTTTAACTCTGTGCTGCATTTCAGGAGCAAGAGAGTGAACAATCTATCGTCTACAATCCCATGACACATCTCATGATGATTCTCTGGCATTTAAACAAAACCGTGGGACTACTGTCATTTACACCATGGGGCTGCACTGCAGCAGGATGAATGCACTCACCGTGGTGGTCAGCAGTGAAATAATTTCAGTCAAAATACAGAATACACTGACAAATGTTTAATTTAGTAAAGCAATTTTAGATGCTTTTCTTCCCCCCTCTGTTTTTTAAAGTATGGGAATGACATTTTATGGACCACAGTTGTAAAAATTAAAAGGAGAAAACCCCTTCTGGACTTAAAAAAGCAAGTGGCCTGGCTTAAACATTCACAGAAGTGTCCCACAGACATATTTGAAGAATAAATTTAGTGCTCTCAGTTGTGATTTAGAAAAAAGAAAACTGATACAACTGTGACTGTTGTAGAGAAAAACCTAAAAGCACAATGATTTTAAGTAGCAAGGTAAGGTTAAGATCCTTTTTAAGTTCTAAGAGGAAGGACAGAGTTTTTCTAATAATCCAAATCACAGTTTTTCTTAATACAGAATAATTTAAATAAACTGACCTGTACTTGTGTGTTAGCCTTCCATACTAGCAGCAATCAATCAGAGCTGTAACACTCTTCAGGCCCCAGTTCAAGAAGCAATTCTCAATCATGCACGTGGCTCAATAATTTATATATTATTTCCCACTGATGCTGGAGATAACTGACTGGGCCTTCACAATTTACTTAAGACTCAGAACAAGTCAGGCTCATGCTCAGTGGGTTGGGGACACAATGTCATCATCTGTCTCTACCACAACCATGCTGTGCTCAAATATTTAACCAGGAGAACCTTCTCAGCCATCTCCTGCAGCTCTCTAAGAGCTTTAGGGTGTCCCAGCTACTTCCAGATACTTAGTCAGGTCTGCCTTTATCATAGAGGAGTAGCAAATATAGTGGTGACTCAGCTAAAAGTTGTAATGTGGACTGGAAGAAACACAAATTACTATAAAATGTGTATGTATAGTTTTTAATAGATGGCTTGGAACTAAGGCAAGATTAAAAAAAAATTAGCAGCATACTCTACCAAAATAGAGAGACCAGTGATAGGATCTAACCTGCAAATGACTCTTAGAAAAAAAGACAGAAAAAGCCATCAGAATCCTGGTTTCAAAACCAAGTTTGGGGAAGTAAATGGGAGAAATAACAGCAAAAATGATTATTCAATGTCTACTAATTATTAAATTACTATTATTAAACACATTATTAAAATTCTATCATTAAATAGATACATTTGATAGTTACAGTACAGCTGTTACTGGCTTTTTAAAATCAAGAAATGGTATGAGCCATTTTTCTCCCTTCATATACACATGCACAAATTATAGCCTAACTTTGAGAAGGAAGTTTCCTTCAATTGTCAAGAATATCCTTGAAAATATTTTAAAAATATTAAAAATGAATTATAAATGTAATTTACCAACCTGTTTGTAGTCCATTATGTTTCCTTTTCCTTGTGCCTTAAAAAGAAAGAGATTTTATATAAGACATTATATGCTACAAACTAGAGTTGCAAGAATAAAGAATGCAATTAAAAGAGCTACTACTTCAAACATAACTGACTTTCTTTAGGAATCTGATACAGAAAACTTTAAAATAAACTAAATGTGTTACCAGCTTATACAACATGGTTCTTTTTCAGATGAGAGCTGCAGATACTTAATGTAATTTTTAGGCTTTTTTATTATGACTTATAGTTAAACATTTGTTGAATCCAAAGTGTTTTGGTCTTCAGAGATCTTGTTGTTTGCATTAATTAATCTCTCCCATGAGATTTCGAAATAAGCTGTACTCCATATCAGCAATAACAGGACTTATTTTCTTTAAAGAGAACTCTGTATATCTACAGTGATTTGCAGTAGGTAATAGTCTACAGCTTTCAAAAGGGGATGTTGGATGATGTCAGTGCTCTTACACCTGGGTTAGAGGTGCTTTTTGGTTTAGAATTGTATTTAAGCTTCAGCATCACCCTTTTAGTAAGAGAGAGAGAGAGAGAGATACAACCTGTAACTCCTAATACTTTCAGAAAGAAATATGAATAAACTTTACATTTCTTCTTGCCCAGATGCAGGCAAGTACATAGTAGACCCTGAGACAGCTCAGTTACTTAGAGCATGGTGCTAATAACACCCAAGGTTGTGGGTTTGATCCCTGTACAGGCCATTCACTTCAGAGTTGGACTCTATAATCCTTGTGGGTCCCTTCCAATTCGGAATACATAGATCCTGATGAATATTTGCAGAGATCCAACTTCCTCAATTTTGTTACAGGATGATGTAGACAGGAAGATGTTTTTCTCACTCAGTGGCAGTGCTCTGACAGAACCAGAGCATTCCTGCTTAACCACCCTGAAAGCCCTTCCCTGAGGTCAGATCCAGTGTCATTATCACTTCATTCAACCACAGCTCTTCTTTTTTCAGGCACATTAAAGAAAAAAAATCACCTGTTTCTTTCCCTCTAGCTTCCACAAGGAAAGACCACGAATCTCAGTTCTTCTGGAATGTGCCTCCTGAAAAGATGTAGTTTAGGACCACTACCTCTCCATGTCCTCTGTGGGCACTTGAGAGATCAGCCAAAAGGAGCAGACAACAGGCACAAGGAGAAGAGCTGAAGCCCACACTGAAGAGGAACACTATGTGGCAAGCACAGCTTTAAAGAGATGTTGCCAAGATGGCACAGATTTGGAAAATAAATTAATTTTTGTACGGGAGGAAAAATAAAATAAAGAAAAGAACCCTCGAGAGACTAAACAAATGGAAAATGAAGGAAAACAGTAGATAACAGAGCTGATTCCTCTGAAGGAGAAAGGCGACTGATCCACCAAATCTCTTTGCTTCTCTCTTTAATCTTCTCAAGAGGCAGCTTTTCTGGAATGCATATTAAGAAAACAGCCTGATAGAACTTGGGAGTAGCAAAACTACTGCCAATAACTGCTTCCTTATTTGTGTATTCCCGTCACTTTGATTTGCCAACTTTTATTCACCCGGTTGGATCTTTCAGCTTCTTCAAAATATATCTAGTAGTTATATTGTATATCAGTACACACCAGAAACATGTTCCTTAACAAGTGATTGTCTATATGCGGATTCACATTGCAGCAGAGAATCTGACAACATGTTTTTTGGAAGATATTTTTTGGTCTCAGCAATACCAGAAGAGGTGTGCTCCCCCTGCCTCCTCCTGCTCTTATAACCAACAACAAGAATATTTCCTCATGATCTGTTCCTGTCAAGCATTCAAGTCAATGGCAGTTGTGCTTCTCCAAGCAGCAACCTTACCCAATCTGTCTCCAAAGCCTTCTTTACTACAACTGCATAGTTTTACTAACTTTACTTTTTTTGTTGTTTTTTACCCTCACAGCAGTTTGACTCTTGACTTTTTCTGACTCTTATCTCAGATACACAGATCTTTTTTACCTTTTACATCAGACTTGCTCAACTGGTTAAGCTTCTGACATGGACTGAGTGGACTGCATGTGCTTTAGCTATTTAAACCATACAAATGACATTGCACAAGAGGGTGGCTTATGAGCATTGCCAGTATGATGAAGTCTCTGGTCTCAGTGCTTGGCCAACACTGAATGTCACATAGTGAAAGTGACTATGGATGATATCTCAAAGAGCTTGTAGTTAATGAAAGATGATTTTCCTTTCTAAACCAACACAAGTGAAGAAAGGCTCCTGAGTGAGATATTCTATGTTGCAGTGAGTACTTAGTTGAGTAGTATGGTATCATCATCATCATGGCTGGGCTTTGCGAACGAAGATTTGGGAAAGGCTCTATCCACATTTGTTACAAGCACGCTGATGGCTAATAAGGCCAATACAAGATAGACACGTCCGATTGCAAAAGGCACAGCAGAAAGACTCCTTAGGTGGTATATTCTGCAAGACACGGTTCTTTCTGCGTTGCCTTTTCTCCTCAAGAGTGATCCTGCGTGTGTTCTCAAAGGAGACAGCAGTGTTATAGATGGTGTGTCTCCAGGCCTCCCGATTTGAGGCCAGAGTAGACCAGTTATGTTGATCAATATGCCCAAGGCTGAGATGTTGTTTCAGGGAGTCCTTGTATCTTCTCTTCAGGGCTCCTCTCTTGCGGTAGCCAGTGGCAAGTTCACCATAAAGCAAGATCTTAGGGAGGCGGTGGTCCTTCATCCTGGAGACGTGCCCTGCCCAATGCAGCTGTGTTCTCAGCAACATGGCCTCAATACTTGTGACTGCTGCTTGTTCTAGAACAAACATATTGGTCACATAATCTGACCAGTGGATGTTTAGGATTGTACGGAGGCAGCGTTGATGGAAGCGTTCTAGGAGACGCAGGTGGTGGCAGTAGATGACCCATGATTTGGAACCATATAAAAGAGTAGACAGCACTATGGCTCTGTAAACACTGATCTTGGTACTTTTCTTCAAGTGTTTATTTCACCAAACTCTTTTATGGAGTTTTCCGAAAGCACTGTATGCCTTTGCTAACCTGTTATCTATCTCTCCGTCAATCTTACCATCCGAGGAGATGAGGCTCCCTAGGTAATTAAACTGCTGGACTAATTTGAGCTCTGATTGGCCAATGGTGATATGGGGATGATGAAGACTTCCTGAGGTGCAGGTTGATAGAGAACTTCTGTCTTCTTTAAGCTGACTTCCAGCTCAAAGAGCTCAGCAGCATCTGCAAAGCAGGACGTTAAACGCTGCAGAGCTGCTTCTGTGTGGGCAACAAGGGCGGTTTCATCAGCATAGAGCAGCTCCCGGACAAGATGATTTAAGGTCTTAGTGTGGGCCTTCAGTCGCCTTAGGTTGAAAAGGCTTCCATCAGTACGGTATCGAATGTAGATACTGTCCTGATCATTGAGGTCTGCTGTGGCCCTTTGGAGCATCATGCTGAAAAAAATTGTGAATAGGGTTGGTGCAAGAACACAGCCTTGTTTTACACTGTTGGTAATTAGAAAGGGCTCAGAAAGTGCATTGCCATAACTGACTTGGCCATGCTGATCCTTATGAAGTGAGATGATCATTTTAAGGAACTTGGGGGGACATCCTAAACATTCCAAAATCTGCCATAGACCTTTTCTGCTCACAGTATTGAAAGCCTTGGTGAGATCAAGAAAGGTTACATAGAGATCTTTATTCTGTTCCCTACACTCCTCTTACAGTTGTCTGAGAACAAACACCATGTCTGTGGTACTCCTGTTGGCTCTGAAACCACACTGGCTTTCAGGTAGAATTCCTTCTGCTATAGCGGGTATTAGTCTGTTCAAGAGTATTCCTGCCAGGATTTTGCCGGCAATGGAGAGCAGAGTAATGCCACGGTAATTTGAACAGTCTGATTTAACTCTTTTCTTCTTATACAAAGTGATGACGACTGCACCACAAAGGTCTGAACACTTTCAGTATAGTAAATACCATGTATAAAGTATACATACGTATATGTATAAATGTATGAAGTAGCAGTAGACAGCAAATACTTCTGCATAGTACATGTCACTTTGTACCCTGGCTTCCTTCACAAAGAACTGCTTTGTTGTTTCTATAATGCCCATTTTTGGTATGAAAATTTAGTAAGCAGACAGACAGCACTCCTGGAGTCCTGCAATCTCCTCTAGATTCTGCAGATGGGAAATTGTTTCAAAGCTTTTATACATCGTGCTGTGGAAATACCATTATTCTCCAACTGCAATAATCCAAATCCATTTACATTCAACTCACATATGGGCCTTGTGTTGTGACTGTAAGATTCCAAAATTCTTTGTCATGCATTGTGAACTACCAGCCCCTAACTTCAAAATGACAATAGGTTTGCTTCACCTTAAGATTCCCCAACTCCAAACCACTGTACAGCTGTAGATTCTGCATATACTTCCCAGAATTTTACTGCTGAAGAGACTATGCCCCTTGCTTTCATTATGTGAAGGTAGGCTGCAACCTGGCCATCATGAATGCAGAATGAGGCAAAGGCTCGGACTCCATCCCCTGTACCCAAAACTCTTGTTTTAAACCAGCAAGGAAAGGAGCCATTCAACCAACACATCTTGAATGAATATGCTTGCACAGAGCCAACTTCTTATTGAAGGCAGCAGCCTTTTTAACAAAAAAATCTGTGTAACTACAAGCAGGAATTTCCAAATGGCAGTCATGATTGTTGTTTAGACAGACAAAACATGTCCAACTGACGAATGTTTAATTTTGGCCATTTCAGCGCTTCCCCCTCCTTTCCCTTCTTGCTGCCTTCTACAGTTACCTATTTGTGTTTCAGAAACACCCAAGAAGCTATTCATGGACCTGATTCCTGCTGTAGTACAAGACAGCTACCACATAGCTATCTTATTGCCTTCCTCATCTAAGGGTTAGAGGAAAAAAATAGCTGAATAAGAGAACAAAGAATAAGGATATCAGATCTCACAAATATTTTGTAGTAGTCTAAAAGCCAAGTCCCCCAAATCTTTCTCCCTTCATCCAAAATTACTGCTCCCAGAGTCAAGTTGGCAGAAGGAAATGTGTCTACCTTTCAAGCACTGTGATTGTTGAAGTTCTTTGCTTTAAGCTGCCAGTGAACGTAGCTTTAAACTAAGATGTGGGACTGCACAAGTATTGCAGAGGACCAGACATAAGCTCCACATAAATGAATCTGTTTGTTACACTGACACACAAAAGTTTGACAGAGCTTGACTGTCAGGTCCCTAGATTTCCCCCACCTCTTGAAAGCATGGAAGAGAGAGATAGTAAGCATTGGAGAGCATAGGTAAACCTGTTGTTAATTTCTAAGTTTCTCTGAAGATTAAAAGTACGGACAGGAAGAGATAAACGGCAAACCCAGGAAATTCTAAACAATGCTTTAATTTACCTCTCTAATCTGCTTAATCCATGCCTCCCTTCCAAGGAATTCCTGATGAAGGATTGCAGGAGCAGAATTCAAACTGAAGGCCATTGTGTCACTCGAACTTTCTTTAACAAACGGCTGAAGGTCTGAATGTAGCTGAAAGAGAAGAACACATTTCTTCAGTTCCCAGGAACAGTCTACATATCCACCCATGCACCAAACTGAGGTCCATATCCTGATTCTACACCTACCCACCACTTTCTGCTTTGACACTTGTACTTTGGTTGCACTTTTTCAAGTTTGGGGGAGGGACAGAAAGATGTTGTGAAACCATTGCAGTGATGGAAAGCTGTGGTAAAGAGAAGCATGTATAGAGTCTGCAAAGACATGGGTAAAGGACAGCTTACAGAGCTGGGCAAGCCATAGGACACAGCCATGTGGAGTGTCAGGAAGCTGTGGAGTGTCAGGAAGCATTAAAAATATAAATGATCCAGTCTTTGGTGGGAAGAAGATCAGTTTTTAATCTGTGCAGGGTAATACATTCTACTTTACAGTACCTGAGGAAGCCGATGTAGTATGACCTTCCTTCTGACAAAGGAAATGCTACATAGCTAGGAGCTTTCTATGAAAATTATGCAATCCTTTATACACAACTATGTGTCAATAGTGAATACATTAATATTAAAGCATTCACCAAACATTAAGGCTATAGCTGCACTACAAGCAATTTTCTGGTAGAATTGTACCTAGTAATAGCATACAGTGGCATTTCTATGGCAGTAAAACTGTGCTTTATAAAACCACTTCCTTCTCCTGTAGGAACTAGAAACTATCTAAATCAACTCAGCTGAAGTACATGAGAGGCCTGTCTGCCTGTCTCAAGCTACAGCTAATCTTGCAAGTGGTGCAATACAACAGGAACAGATCTTTAGGGCAAAACAAGAGTGCCAAGGATCTGAGTTCCCCACTGTGTGTTTTCCTTTGGACTAGCAGTAGCTGCAGACTGAAAGTCTTCTAATGGAGGTCAGAAACCTTCTGTGGGAAATCCTACTACTGTAAAGGTGCGGGCTGCTCC